AAAAAAAAAATAGTCCCTTTTCTTTTCTTTTCTATATAAAAAAAAAAGGACAATAAATAGAAAGTTACATTTATAATCTTTATAATCTTTGTAATCTTTATAATTGATAATAGTTATAAGCTTCGTATTAATTCTAAGGTAGATCGTGGATTCTTTTTGGCTGATAACGATTGGACATGTTATCGAAGGAATTATTTCCAAATAAGCAGTGCATTTTCTATCTTAAGTGCAACTCATACCATGAATGAATCAGATATATCATGTTTACTTGAAGTTGATGGACAATTTCATCCTGTTAGTCAATTCTTATTGGGCATCACAGCAAGAGTTTCCAATAGTGACAAAAAGATTGAATTAGTGCAACACACACCCAAACGTGACAAAGGACCACAAATGGTTCCAGTTCCAAAACCTATTCGTGCAGGTGGAAATTTGAACCTTAGTTCAGTTGGATCAAACTCAAACATTGTTACCTTTGAACGTATTCAATTTAAAACAGCAACAGCTAATAATGGAAAACGTCGCGCAGCTCAACAATATTATGTTGTAATGGTCGATCTTTACGCACAAACAGAAAATGGAGAACAATACCGAGTAGCAACATCAACTTCAGCACCTTTGGTCGTAAGAGGGCGTAGTCCTGGACATTATGCCGATAATCATGACCGTTACAATCCAATGGGCATGAATCCAGCTTTCCCAAATGATCGTCATATTGGATTTCCACATCCTCAAGGACCAGGGGGAACACCAGTTATGACACAGGATTTTAGTGGACCTTTTCCAGGACCATACAACCAATACCCACCTTTTCCAGGGTTCCCCCCTGTTAACGGAGGGCCAATGCGAAATGACGCTTTATTGATGATGCCGAATGGACAAGCACCACAATTTCATCCTCAACATCCACATCAGCAATACATGGTACAAGGTATTTCCGATGGAGAAAACCCTAATCCAGATATGTACAGTAATGCAAACATGGACACTAGCGTGGTTAATAATTCACACGACCAAAAGATGCATGACATACATATGGAAGGGGGTAAATAAAATATGAAAGAAAGAATGAAAGAACAAGACAAGCGAATGTAAAAATTGGCATTACCATCTAATCTATCCTTTATTTATTTATTTATATAAATTTAGTAACAGCCGCTTCCGCGCCACATTCAGCATTTTCGAACTTTGAATCCCGTCAAATTCAAACACCAGTGACCGGACCAAATGCAGCACCAGGTAATAATCCATTCATGAAAATCTAGCAATCTAGATTATTCATATATCTGAAATTAACTAACATTTTCTGCTTATTATTTACAAGAATATGTTGAAGGATTTCATATGTATCATAACGAAAGTCACCCCACCAGCAGTACATCCGCACATGAAGGTTATCAATCCGATACTGAGCCTCATAGTAATGGATTAAATCACATGAATGGACGACAAACAAGACCAGACGGTTCGTCAGAACATAATAATTCATCACAGATTAATGGTGATAAATCAGGACATGATTCAAAATCACCTTTATTAGCAAACGGCAATAACAACACCACAAATTACCGAATTGGAAAAACAGAAAACACCGATAAGCTGTAAAGATAAGATATGGACAATTATTATTTTTTGATTTAGAATTTAAATATCCGTCTCTGAGAAACGGATTTTATTTTATTGCTTATTTATTTTTTCGGCGTTTATTGGTCTCGCTTTATGATTTGTTTATAAGGTATATAAATTTGGGTTGACTCTATAAGATGTATATGATTTTACGATGTATTTAATTTTTTGAGCTAATGGAAAAAATAGGATTTTTGGCTTTCACGGCACTTTTAGAGAATCAAAAGGGGTTTTTTTTTTGTGCTATATATGTATAAGTTACAATATTAGAGAACACCAAAAATACCACGGTTTTTAATTTATATTATTTAGCTGTACACTTATTACTTTCACATTATACTTTATATATAATTTTTTTTACATATTATTAATTTTGGTTTTGGCATGGTCGTATTATTATAGTATAATTATTATAAATGTAACTTTCTATTTATTGTCCTTTTTTTTTTATATAGAAAAGAAAAGAAAAGGGACTATTTTTTTTTT